TTTTTTTTTTTTCAGAAATTTCAAATATGCTTAGACAGGCTACTCTGTGTATATAACAGGCAAAATTTAGTCAAATGCGATTATATATAAAGTCACTTTTGATCAACGAGGAAGTGGCACTGATGGCACTAAATGGGAAGAAAGCAGTCCCGTTTAACTTTCAGGTTCTGTGCTCCGAGTTTCCTGCCGTGGATGACATGAACAGACTGAGTCTGTGGAGGAGTCGTGCATTGTAGGTCCCATCACTCCCCATTATTGCAGGTAATGGTCATAAACTGACTTCTGTTTCCTTCTTTGAGAAAAAGTTGCAAGTGGAAGTCTCTCTCTCCTTGAGTGTGCTGGCACTCCAGCACTGACCGAGCACCGTCAGGAGGAACGCTGGTCTCTCTAGCCCTGGCAGATCAAACTTCTTTCCCACCCACACATGTGAGAGTCCCCACACACTTTTCCTCTCTGCCTGTTGCATATGTGCACTTACCCCTTTGATGATCTTTTCCAAGTACTTACCCATAAATGACTTGAAGACAAAGGTGCTGCTTTATTAGTCCTGACTTTAAATATCACAGCCTTGTGGGGTGGGTTGCAGTTGCTGCTGTATTTCCTCAGTCCTGTGCTGTGCGTGCAGTAGAGCTATTGACAAAAAGTGCTGTAACATCAACAGCACTGAGAGCTGGCTTTTTGTCTTGGAGGAGGTAAAATATAAATAAACTTGCATTTGCTGAGAGTCATGGAGCAGAAGAAAGGGGCCTCTGGAGCCAGTTTCTTTCTCCATTTCAGATTAGCCATGACTTTTGTCACCTCTGTGAGAGGATGTTGCAAAGCTTCTCCGGGCAACCCCTTTCAGTGTGGCATTGCCCTCCTAGTGAAGAAGCTTTTGTGAATATTAAACCAGAACCAGGGGCCATTACTCCTTGTAATATTGTTGGATAGTACTGGGCAGTGCTTGGCTCCATCATCTCCATCACTACCTTCCAGCATGCTGGATGAAGGCAGTCCCCAACTCTGTTGATCTCTCCTTGCAGACCTGTGCCCGAGATCCCCAACCATTCTGCTTTGAACCCCTCCGGTCTTTCCTCATCTCTCTTGAACTGCCTGGAGCTGGACATCTTATTCTCCTATTCCAGTGAAGACTCACTAGCTCAAACAGAGGAGGTTAATAACTTGATTTTTTTCTTCTTTTTCTTTGCATTGATCCCATTTTTAGCTAGTCTTATATCAATTTTGCCGTATTTACACAGAGAGAGGACCACTGGCTTGTACCAAACCTGGTGCCTCCCCATGCTCTTTTGGGAAGACATCTACATTGGCTCTACTTTCCCAGCCTGTGCTGGACCACAGGCCCTCTTAAATTTCTCCTTGTTGCACTTCAGGAGACTGCTTCTCCCCTGTGCTGGAGTTTTTAGGGCCTCTGGAGTGAGATTCTGCTATCTTAGCTGTAAAATTGGGTTGGTGTTGTCCACTGGCTTGCAGAGGATGCTCACTCTATCACCACCCATTGCATTGGCAAGAAAAACTAAATAACAAAGCTGGTTACACCCTGTACCCTGAAGTGCTGTGTTTTTGCAGAGGCACAAATTGGTAATGCAAATTTTCAGGTACTGTGCTAAGCAGGAAAACAATAGCTCAGAGCATTTTGGAGGAAAGATTGCAGGGGATTTAGCGGGGAAAATGTCAAGAATTTATGAGAGGATTTCTACAGAAAGTACATTAAATTATCCAGACTTCTGGTTGTGATCAACTTTCCTGCTTTTATTTTTTCTGTTTATTACTATTTATTGGGTTGTTGGTGGTTGCCGTAGTTACAAACCTGCAATACTTGCTGGGAAGGAAAATCTCCAGCTAAGTGTTGAAGCTGTTTTAAGGAGAAAATGGTAAAAGCTTTAGATGAAATAGGTAGATAAGAATCATGCACCGCTGTCAGATTGGGGAATTAGAATGTATTTTCAAATCACACACTTCATAATACAGTTTATTTAGTAGAACATGTTCTTTCTCACACATATGTCATATGCAAAGTAATGTGAAAGGTGCAAAAAAGAAAGGTTAACTCATACTGAAAAGGCTGCAAGTTTCTGAATGACCAAGGCAGTCGCAAATAATATTTTGAAAACCTATTGTTTTGGAAAGCTCTTCTTCTTGCCCCTCTGCAGATAATGGTGGAGATGATGATAACATTTCTTTGCATTTGAGCTCCTTGCGTGCCTCAGCTATGATCAGCGTTCTAGGACTAGCAAGTTTTAAAATGCTTGTACATGACGCTCAGTATTCAATATGTGCAGCTGCCCACTTGCACAATCAATCATTTCCATGAAAATAAATTGACGGCAAATTGTATTTTCGAAACGGGCCTTCTTTCCTTTTTAATTTGCTCCAGCCAGAAGGTAATTTCTTTTCACATTTTGAGTAAAGGGAACACGTGCCCCAGAACGAAGACTCGATTACAAGCAATCTCAGACCGCTTTTACAGACGTTATTAAAAGGCACAGAAACTCTTTTCTTGATGTGAAAGAGCTCCTGGCTCAGAGCGTGAACCATGCCAATGTAAGGGTACAAGAAACGCGTAGGCTTTAAATGCAACACAGAAACCTTCAGTTTAGACTCAGAGCCAGACTTGCAAATGACATAAGGGTGGTAACATACCAGAAGTGCTGACCAGGAAGGGTTGAAACATCTCCAGAACGTTTTGCACAGCTTGCAGTACAGGCTAGGAGGATTTCTCTGAGGAATGAGGTGCATAGACCTGGTCCAGTCTTTCAGCTGGGAGCTCGGAGTATATCGGGCAGGCGCTCCCTGATTTTCTGTGCTGCAGGGCTTGCTTCCCTCATTCTCCTTCTCCAAGAAAGAATGAGCAAACAGGCAGAATTTCAAACTTAAACCTTTGACAGAGATACAATGATGTAGAAATGCAGCTAGTCACACACAGTCTTTCACTAAATGGAATATTTGAAGGCGTTCTTTTTGGTTTTCACATGCAAAGTGGCTTTAAAATTGCAGGAGAAAACCATGCTGATTCCTCAGCAAAGATTATCAGAAATGCTTGTTGCTCAAGGAATTGCTGGTACCCAAGATACTCCGTTGGAATTGTGTACTGGGCAGCCTCTCCTCTATGGGAGGGCAGGAGCTGCTGTCCTGGATAGCGGCCTTGAGCAGTTTGTAATGCTTACAGGAGGGAGGATTCACTATCATCCCAGGGTGGCCAAGCTGTTCAAAGCAAATGGGCTCTGACAGCCATCTTCTGTAAGGTTTACAGACGGGAAGAGCAGAATCAGACTTTTGGCCAGATACTGCCCTTTACCTCTCAGATACCTTCAGAGTTAGAAAGTTAGTTGTGCATAGTCATTTCTATGTTTGGCCCTTAGTGACAACTTTCTGACACGTTGGCAAAAGGAAAAGTGGTGCAGCAACGACAGAGGCTGATTTTGAGTGGCATCCCAGGGATCTGGGCAGTTTTCCTCTGGCAAGTCTTTCACATTTAGTAGATACCATCAAGGCTAATGCTTCTTTTGGTGTCACTCCATCACTTTGTTAATGCTGGTTCTTTCTTCCAGCTTCTCCTCGTTTCATTTTTGAACGGAAGCAAAACACGGAACAGGTTCACATTCATTGGAAAAATGTTCTTCTCTCTCCTGCACCCTGTCATAGCCAAGGTGACCCTACCGCTGTGTCAGGGATAATGCTCTCGATGTCCTGTGGGGCAAGTGGGAGATGAGGAAGATGTCTTCTTCCTCTGCAGGCAGTCCCATCATACGGCACGAGGCTTAAAGCCGGGACAGAGTTCAAGAACCTTTTTCAGGTGTGTTTTCTCGCGGAATTCTTTTGCAGCGAAGTAATAAAAGATGGCATCCAGGCAGCAGTTCAGGTTGGCTAGTATCATTGACACCTGAATGAAGAGGCTGATGGTTTGCTTGAGACTGCAGTCCACGATCACGTTCTGTCTTACCAGGCACTGCAGGCAGATCGCAAGGTGGACGGGTGTGAAGCACACCAGAAACACCACGAGGTTGATGATAATGACTCGTAAGGAACTACTGCCTTCTACCTTCTTTTTAGCTTGACTTTTATGATTCAGCAGAATCCAGATGTTTTGGGCAGAGCAGAAAACCATCACTATGAGTGGGATCAGAAATCCGAAGATTTCCACGGAAACAATGAGGGGGATACTCCATGCCTGTTCTGACATGTTGTAAAAGCACTTAAAATAATCCTTCTTGTGAAACACATACATTGGGCTGCTGCAAATCCAAGCTACTGCCCAGATGAAGCAGCAGATCAAGGTAGCCCATTTGGGAGACTGGTTAGCTCGACCTTCAAATGGGTGCCTTATGCAGATATATCTGTCCACGGTGATGCAGACGATGATGAAGATACTGCTGTACGTGTTGACGAAATAAAGAGACTCTATGAATGAGCACAGGAGTCCGGGCGCTTCCGTGACAGAGTAGTACAGCTTGAGGGGGAGCGAGAGAAGCAGCAAGACATCCGCAAGTGCGAGGTTGATCATGTAAACTGAGGTTTTGGTCTGTTTCTTCCAAAAGCAGCAGAACACAGAGAGGGCCAGGGCGTTGAGAACCAGCCCGAGAATGAAAGTGGGGATGGAGATCCCCAGCCGCAGGGTCTTTGCTAATCTGTCGATGTCTGTAAAATTGCATTCCCTGCTGCTGTTGGTCATTTCTCCCCTAAAACATCAGAGAGAACAGGTTGGAAATGTGTAAGGCTCCCAGTTAATGCCTTGATACATCAGAGCCAGACACTTTCAGACATGAATCTGGGCTCTTTTTTTTGGTTTTGAGCTATACCTATGATGAGTCTTTGGCTAAGGGAGTTCTCATTTCACACACAGAGCTTTCAATTTCCAGTCTGAGTGGCTTGATTTGTTACAAAGGAGCCTGATTCTCAATGGCAGGTAGTCAGCATCCACTGGCTACCATGCCCTTGATTATCCAATTCAGTTATTGAAGAGCCTGACTCAATCACACACATATTTTCAAAAAATCTGAAGCATACTGGCTATCCCTGGGAACTTGTACATCTGTTCAAACTTCTGTGAAACTTTTCTTTGGTTCCTTTGCTACACAGAATTTCATGGAATAATTGTTCCATATGAAAGCTGGGATTTTAATCTTTACTCTTCCCTACGCATCAGTAGCTTTTGCTGCGGTGCTTTTGCTACCACCCACATTTATATGGCTATTTTAATTTCTTATAGTGGTTTATCTGTTGCAGTTCTTTAGAAGATCAACTTAAGAAGGCTGATCTTTTATCTAGGTGCAAATTGAGTAAGTGCGTTTTCTATCTTGTGTTTAACATCCATCACTGTTTAAATTTTGGGCTTGCAAGTACTTTAAATTTTATCTGATTATCATAGATAATCTGGCAAAGATTAGCAAATGGAAGGCATGACAGCTTAATAATACAATTCTTTAAAAAAGTATAATTTGTGTGGAATAAGTGTTATCACTGTTCTTAAACATATACATATGCTTTACCAAACTATGCCTTAAGTGCTTTTTGATAAACTCTTTAAATCAAAATCAAAAAAAATCCTAATGAAGGAGAAGAAATTTATAGTTAAAGTTTCCAGTCCAACTCGGCCAAATGAGTAGCTCAAAAGAAATTTTAGGAGTAAGTGAAGAGGTTTTAAGAACGTGATCAAGAGGGGAATTTCTGCTCTGGAGGACAAAAAGTGACAGGAAGCTCATTAGGACTACTAAAGGGAGCTGGACTTTGCTCAGGAAACCAATAATAAATTAGGGAAAG